CCCCCCCCCCCCCCCCCCCACCATTTTGAATCCGACCAGTTTTGGGCAGGAAACTGAACAGAACCAATTGTTTTGAGATTTTGGTAGGAGAGGTGAAAAATAAGGGAGATGAAAAGAAAGAAGGAATGTATTTTCAAACTTTTGAAAAAGGGAAGATGTATTCCCTCCTTCTTGTTTGATAGAAAAGATGGAAAAGTCAGAAAAATAAATTTTTTATTGAATTATATGTATGAGAAAACAATTAATATAAAAATATAATTTATTAAAGTACATGATTACCCTTGTAATTGTTATTTGAGAGACATGGAACAACTGTCACTTTCAGACCATCAACTTTAAGGGGTGATGAGACTTTTCTGAAATACTCTATGATGAAGACACGTGTCCTCGGTATTACCAAAATACTGTTGCTAAGATCAAGCACCATCGGCGCATAAAGGTCCTCGCCCCCGAGGTACTCGTCACATAGGATCATGGCATTCAGTACGTTTTACAAACAACACGTGGCCTCGGTCTGATATGGTACCTCGGTCGGTATCCCTCCCTCGGTTCCGAGATGAGCCTNCATAGGATCATGGCATTCAGTACGTTTTACAAACAACACGTGGCCTCGGTCTGATATGGTACCTCGGTCGGTATCCCTCCCTCGGTTCCGAGATGAGCCTTTCCTCGGTGCCGAGGTGTACCCCGTCCTGGACGCCTCCTCTACTCCAGGATAAGCTATTGACGTACAGGTCATTAGCCTAGGCTAGTCTAGGCTATTCATCATGACCTCGTCTTACACAATTAGTGTCAGAACGTACTGGAATGCAGGGGCCACAGCCAATGGGGGATGGACGCGTGGCATATGATATCACATCGAAGACAGACAAACCGCATGCCGTTGCTGACACGCGACTTGGGAAAGCAAACTATTAATTACACCATTCCCTTGATGAGACCGCATTCAATGCGGTAAGGCTCGGAAATGAAAGACAATAAATGCTCCTAATACAGAGCATTTATTGCATCCTCCCCGAGAGGAGTACATTGTACCGTCGGCATCCCGATGACCCAGCATTGATTGCTCGGGACCCCGAGCAGTTAAGAAGAGAAGACATTCCTCATCAGAATCAGTGCGCACACTGCCTGTACCTAATGATCACCTACTGACTACACTGACAGCAATCATGAGCTTTTGAGGTATAAATACTCCTTGCAAAAGGCAAGACGGGTATGCAACAAAAAACTCTTTACTACAATACACACTCAGTGTTTTCTCCTTCCTCTCTCTTTCTCAAAGACTGACTAGATCGTCGGAGGGGATACGCCGGAAAACACTCCGGCGCCCTTCTAACTTGTTCTTCTTTGTTCCAGGAACCTCTTTCAGCCTTACTGGATCGTTCTTCCGCTCCCCCAGGGTCTCCCGTTGCCGTTCCAGGTTACCACCGGACCTCGCAGGCTGTTCCAAGCAGCGTGGTTGGTCACTCAACTGGCTCACTCGAGTTCACCAAGGGAGAGATCTGTTCTCGTTTTTTATATTGTGCAGGATCTTGCACGCACAATCTGGCGCCGTCTGTGGGAAACGACTAGTTTTCCTAGTTTTTTCTCTATAAAGAACAGTGACCATGGTGAACACTCGACAGAAAGGGAAAGGCCCCCACCAAAGGAGTCTCGAGTTACAAGCTCCCTGTCATCACGGAGGAAGGGATCACACCGATATGAATAAAAGTGCCTCTACTCGGTCAAGAGGGGTTACCCCTCAAACCAGTATGGGAATCAGGTCAGGGGGATCAGCCCCCTTGGCTCGTCAGCTGGCGGAGGTGATTGAAAAAAAGTTTGGCGATAGATTACGACAGCTGAAAAAGGACAATGTAAACGTCCTAAGCCGGCTCAACAAGTTTGTCGCCTCTGGCGAAGGGTCGAGGGATTCATTCCTTTCTCGCGGGCTTCCCGCCTGGGAGGCGAAAACGAAGGATCTAAGAAACCACCTAAACAACAAAGCAGAAAGCTCTAGGGCCCTAAAGCGACCCAGAGCCGACGAGCATCATCATGACAACCATTCAAGGAAAATAAGGCCATTGGCCCTGGACGACCTCCGGCGAGGTTTGTCCAGACGGAGGAAAGGAGATGAATCCGAGGAGGACTCAACCCAATCCACACGACGCCCAGGAAATGAAGGGCTTACCGATGAACTCAAGGACTTCAGAAGGCATCCCGTCAGGGAAGAAATTGATCTCAGAGCCCGGTTAGACTCCAGGAGAAAGGGTAAGGCTGTCCAGGATGAGGCCGAGGACGAAGTCATACAAACACCCTTTACGAGGGAGATCGGTGAGATGGAGGTTTCAAGAAAGTTTGTCGTGCCGCGGTTCAAAACTTATGACGGGCGGTCCGATCCCGAAGCCCATGTCAGGCAATACAAGCNAGGGAGATCGGTGATATGGAGGTTTCAAGAAAGTTTGTTGTGCCGCGGTTCAAAACTTATGACTGGCGATCCGATCTCGAAGCCCATGTCAAGCAATACAAGCAGATGATGTCTCTCTATCATTCGGACAAACGATTTCTTTGCCGAGTGTTTCCTATGAGCTTGGGGGACTCTGCGATGAAGTGGTTCGAGGCGCTTCCCCCCAACAGTATTGGGTCATGGAAGGAATTGACGAAGCAGTTCCTGGCTCGATTCATTACGGGGAGTAAGCGCCCCAAAGACATTGGATCATTGCTGACCCTCAGAAGGAGGGAATCCGAGACTCTTCGCCAGTACGCCATCCGATACTGGGAAGAGGTTAATGAGGTAGAAGGCTGCTCGGAGGTCATGGCAGCAGCATCTTTTCGGCTCGGCTTGGCAAGGGACACGGACCTGTACCGATCCCTGACCAAGAAGACTCCCTCGGATATGGGGGAACTAATGGCCCGGATAAACAAATACTCGAGGATTGAGGACGAGATGGGAAGCAGCAAAGGCCGAGCCCTCCAATCTAAGAAAAAAGAGAAAGAGCGGGAAAATATTCCCCGAAAGGGATTGTTACCCCCTCCAGGGGGTCCGTCCAAAGGAATTCACACTGTGTTCAAGGAACCCATCTTCAAGCTGCTCCATAAAATCAAGCACGAGCCGTTCTTCAAATGGCCGCCCAGGATGCAGAGCGACCCCTCCACCCGTGATCAAAAGGTTAGGTGTTCCTATCACCGGGATTTCGGGCATCGCACCGAAAGCTGCAGGGTGTTCAAATCGTTCTTGGAAAGATTGGTCCGAGACGGATATTTGAAAGAGTACATAGAGCCCAGGCCAGAAGAGAGACAAGCCCTTGCCCCGACCGAGGAGCCGGACAACATCATAGATGTCATCCATATATGTCCCCTGGATCGCCCCACGTCCAAGGAACTCGAGTCCGACCTCAAGAGGGTAGCTTTTACAAAGAAGGTAGCCGAGGTTGATGTAGGGCCACCAAGTAAAAGGGCCAGGACGGGTGAGCTTGGCATTACATTCTCCGACGCGGATTTGACAGGCGTAGTGACTCCTCATAACGACGCCCTTGTCTTGACCCTGAGGATAGGAAAATTCGATGTCAAAAGGATTTTGATAGACTCTGGAAGTTCCTCGGAGGTGATGTACTCCGGAACTTTAAAACGGATGGGTCTTGGCCCCAAAGACCTCACCAAAGTCAGGACACCCCTCATCGGATTCAACGGCTCGTTCGCCCTGCCCGTGGGGAAAATCACATTGCCAGTTGTCACAGGTCCCTTTGTCATCGACACCGAGTTTGTCGTGATCGATACGGACTCTCCCTACAACGTGATTATGGGGCGAACATGGCTGCATGCGTTGGGAGCGGTGCACTCCACTTTCCACCA